TGTTTTTTTCTTGCTTTGCACTTTATTGTCATTATACGCTGCGATTTTGCAGAGAGATCAAGCAATTTATGATTCTTGTTACGGTCTCATTTCACTGCTATGTGAAAAAAATTTTTCGCACTCGTGGGTTTTCCTTCTAGTGTTTTCCTAATCTTTAAAGCCGACATTTCCTTTGTAAATAAAGTTTAAGTCTCATAGAGAAAGAATTAAAAAGAACGTTACTATTCGTGACATTGAGTTTCGGTATACAAAATTTACAAGCAAATTTTCATAGTTCGTTCGCTTTCAAGGAAATTACTTCAGCGTTATAATATACAACGAGATAATTTTTAGTGTAATGCTTATTAAGATTGCGCGCAGATTTTGGTATACTCAGTTTGGCTCCTGAGTTTCAACTGAACAAAGAATAATAACGCGATCTCTCCCGGGCATACAACAAATTCCTTAATGTTCGACGAAAATAAAAAAAAGTACTCGATGAAAACCGCTATTTTCGTTACATTTAAATTACCTTTCCTTTACCTTCTGTATGCGGATCCATCACTACTTTTTAAGAATACAGTGCAGAAATCAAAATATTAACTTAAAATCGCCACGATCTTTCTAGAGAGCCAAAATTTATTTATAAGCAGCGTTATAATATTCTTTTTCCGGTAAACGGTGAGCGTTCGCTGTGTAAGTTAGAAAATTGAGGGGGACTGGAAAATGTTATTTGGAATGTTCTCTATCGAATGTGACTGTTTTTTTAAGTTTTCTTCAAAATTTTGTCAAATTGGTTTATGGCCGCCTAAATTGTTCAAATACCCCGATGTGCATTGGTTTAAACTTAGCTCATAACCCGATGACAATGCAATATGAAATAGGGATGTTGCGGATGTGGAATTTTAGACATCCGCGGATGCGAATATCTAACAGCTAACATCCGCGGATGCGGATGCGAATGCGGAAGTCAAGTATTTTTTAAAAAACAATTAGAATCTAGCATAATGGTGAGATCGTTGTTTAAACGCTTACAAGCCAAACCAGATACGTACAGTGAACTCGCGATAATATTAACATCCTAACATATGAACATCTCAAAATATGAACTACTCTAAAATATGAACTTTAGGCAAAAGCTCCAAAATATGAGCATTATTGTTTTGAAAAATTTCTAACGAATTTCAAGCGCTTGGTAATTTGGGGAACCCCCTAGTTATTTGCATTGAAAATGTCCATACGTGTCGCTCGGAAATGCTTACAGTGATTAACTTCATGTTATTTGTTAAAAAAAACTTGATTTAGAAAAAAAATCCTAATGTTGCTAAGTAAGTTTTGTATTTTGTTTATCAAGTCTCGGCTAATAGAAAGCTTATGTTTTATATGAGTTTGTTTGGAATTTTTGAAAATCGGTTATTGTGGTAGACAAGGGGTCGGTTAAGGTATTACAATACCACATTACGAACATTTTTAATTACTTGAACACCACGTTTATTCTAATAGCTGCGTTATCGTAATGTGGTACAGTATCCCACATTATATTAACCATATACAGTGAGATCGCGATAATATGAACTAATTAAAACCAAGCCTGTTAATTTTTGCGAGATTGTTCATATTTACGAAAGGCTCAAGAATTACAAAAACTAGTTTCATCAATTTAAAAAAAAAGTGTATTATTTAAAACTTTAAAAGAAACGTGTATTCGTTTTGTTTGTTACACAAATAAAAAAAGCCGCATATGCAGGGGAACTTCGGTTATTGTGCTATAGGTATTTGTTTTTTGAGATGTGTAGCAAATGTACGAGCTTTATTGTAACTATTATTTATTATTTGTACCAAATTTGGTGTGGTTATTGTGCTTGTCACATAGAAGAAAAACATTGAAAATTATTGAAATCTGCCTAAGATTACGGCCGCTTTTCATATAACGGTAAACTTCAGAAATTCTTGAAACTTCAATATTTCGAAATTTAAGGACGCTAATTTACTCAAAATTGGAACACCCCGGCTTACCATGTAGCGGTAGCTTTCGTAAAGGTGAAAAACATATATTTAATACTTGCGCCGGGTATTTAATGTTCGGCTCCGCCCGAATTTAGACTTTCTTACTTGTTTTATTTGTGTAACAAACAAAACGAATACAAGTTTCTTTTAAAGTTTTAAATAAAACAATTTTTTTTTTTTAATTGATGAAACTTGTTTTTTTAATTCTTGAGCCTTTTGTAAATATGAACAATCTCTCAAAAATTAACAGGCTTGGTTCTAATTAGTTCATATTATCGCGTGCTCACTGTATGTCATGTTGTTTCAGAATTTGGAAAACCTGTAACTTTATCAGCACTTTTCGATTTGAGTTTTTTTAATTCATTTTTAATAGTATTTTCTGCGACTGCTTTGAAAAATTTGTGCTTATAGCGGGCTAAATAGGTGGATATGGAAAATAGATTATTATTTTTGAACAAAATTCTGTTTTCAAAGTCGTGGCTGCTAGCCGAATCGGATCAGAATATTGTTATTTTTTTTAAAGCATTTTTATAAGCATTTGAATAACAGATAGTTACGTAATTATTATCTAATTAAAGGCCAGACCTATAGCTTTTTAATTATTTGAGCATCGATTCTCTTTATAGCTAAACGTTTATCATTTCTACTGGAAATCCCTATTGAAGGAGCTTACTCATTGACTTTAAATAGCAAAGAAGGGACAGTTTTACCACAAAAGTTTTTAGCCAAGAGTCCAGTGTATATCCCAACGAAAAAAATATTATCCACCAAGTAAAAAAAACTACTGTTTTTAAAATTTTTGCTAAAAATAAATTCCCCAAAGAGCCCCATTTGAAATTATTCAAACGAATATATGTAATAGGTGGCATACGCGGTACGTCTGACTCGCGAGTCATTTGTGTACGTGTTGACTCGCCTTCGACTACACACTGTTCAATCATTCAGAGTCACGGCGGGAGTCATGTTGGTGTAACTAACACATATTTATTTTCACAAACACATCCAAACCGACTCACGAGTCAGACGCACCGTGTATGCCGCCTATAACATCAAAAGCAAATCACGAAAATTTTGTTAATAATTACAGACTTTCTTCTTTTATGTCTATGTAGTAGTTTTTTTTTAAGATTGGTCCAAAAAATCATAATAAAGAAAGAAGCCAAAGCAGGTATTTAAAGCACAGAAAAAAATAGTATTAAAAGGACTATGTTCTCTTTGACGTACGTCAAAGGTCAAGTAGAAGTGGGAACTTTTATGGCTGCCCATTGATAGCTCGGTTATATAGCTTAAGAAATAATATTTTAAAGACATTTTTATCAAAGTTGATAAATATGACATTTGACCAGTTTTTTACACAAATACTCCTACGACCACAGGCAAAAATATTGGCTATAATATGTAGTTTTTTTTTGTCATATATGTATACGTTTTATCAGTCCACTTGCAAAATATTCGCATTCGCAAAAGCTCCGCATTGATTATTGCGAATACGAAAGCGAATGCGAATGTTAAAATTAATGCGGAAGCCCCGCGGTTGCGAATGCGCATATTCGCAACAACCCTGATATGAAGTAGTCCGGAGTTTGGTTTGGTTCATACTTAGAAAGCTTGTTTTAAAGGTATTTTTTTACTATTATCTTATTTAACACTGAAATCTTATTCTGTACTTAAATAAAAAAATGGGAAAAATAAATTGATATACAAATAAATGTTTAGCAATTCTTTTTAGAAAACAAATATGTCTTAAGTCTAGACTTTTTCCTTATTTTAATTTTTCTATATGCTTTTACAGCTTTATCTTTTGGGGTATTTTTGGCCATTTTGAATTGTCGTGGGTTGAACTTTTGCATAAACCAAACTCTTCTTTCGAATCATTGATAAGTTATTACACCCCTGAATCTCGTTTCCCAACGATAACTTTTAGCCGATGATGATGTGTTTTTGGGAAATGGATACTTGTTGACTCATCGTGCACTGACCAAAATTTTGGTGAATATTTGGCTGAGATTTGACTCCAAATATGTATATTTTTTTTTCAAACATTAGTTATAATTTAAAGTATTACATAAATATAAACTATATATTGTCGTTTAAAGTATAAGACCGCGTATCGTTATTCTGCAAAACCGCGTAACTCAAATTTTTTTTCCAAAAATTATATTTGTTCACCGAAGCTCTTAGCTCAAGCCCTATCCATTCGTCCTGAAATATAGGCTGACTTCCAAAATGTATCAATGCAATGTTTGGAAACTGTTATACTTCGGTATTCAAACTGTTTGCATATGCAGAGTTGCGACACATTGCAACCATATATATTGCATATTTTAAATATTCAATATAGCAATGAACAATTTTTCTGAATTTTCCATTTTTAAATCACCAATGGTAACCAATAACAAACAAAGCATCAACTTTGTTTCTGATGCGCTGATTGCTCCTGCGATGCGTTTCGATAACTTTTCGGATGCGTTTTGGAAAAGTACACGTTGTCAATATTTTGTAGTTCGGCGTTATGGAACCTTATACTTTGTACATATGCAAAGCAATTGACGTTGTGGAAGTCAGCCATTCTAGCCAGAAATGCGACTGCTTTATAAATGAAAGAACAATTTTTAAATATGAGTGTTTTTCCCTCTACACATACGCGGTTTTGTACTTTAAACGACGATATGTATATTTGCTTTACGGAATCCTGTATTGGAAAAATCGGAAAACCTATAGACAAAGAAAGGAAGTGTATTTCCAAAATTATGCTTTACGAAAATCTTTATGGAAAAATCGGAAAGCCATATGGATAAATAAAACACATGCGCACTTTTTATGGTTTTAAGATCTTTGCATACGAAATTTTGCAATACAGAATTTTTCAATACAAAATTTTGCTATACCTACAGAGTTTTGAATACAAAATTTTGAATATATACGGAATTTTAAATACGGAATATTGAACCATAATAATTTTGTACCCAACCCGTTTCCAATAAATTCAACATGATTTTATTATATTTATTTAGGTCAACATAAGGATTCTGGACATTATGAGCTGCAGATACTAAATAAATATGGTGAAATAAGTACCAGTGGCTGGATTGATGTTTTATCAAAGCCAGAAATTATTGGTCTCAAAGATTGCAGTTGTCTTCCTGATGATACCATAGCTTTTGATGCCATAATTTATGCAAATCCTAAACCTAAAGTTACGTGGACTCGAGGAAACGAAAACCTCTGCAACAATGAAAACTGCGAAGTAATTGCCGACCTAGATGGCGATAAATACAGACTAGTTTTCCAATGTGTTAAGCCTGTGGAGGATGGGTTATACACATTAACTGCAGTCAACGACCAGGGAACGACTACATCGAGCTTCCATCTCAATGTAAAAGGTAATTTCATTATAGATATGTACATACTTATGAATATATGCATATAGGATAGAGTGATTGCATATCCCTCCATAGGAAAGCTGGTTCTTACGTGCGAACCCTGCACCGTGCAAGGGTTTGCAGGAGTCAGTGATTCCCCCTAATGTGTTTTAAAATTAAAAACGTCAAAATTCATAGCAAAACCAAGTCATAGCGTTTGAAAAGCGAGGCGTGTATCCTATATTTTAAATATTTTTCATCGCATATTGCATACAAATATTAATAGTTCGCTGTCAGACACATCTGCCCCTTTAGAACAACCTATGAAAAATTTTCCATGTTGAATAAAAAATTTCTCCTGTTATGGGCTTCTGATATAACAATCCACCAAGATTTAACTGTCACCGATGACGTAAATGCTACCTATGAGAATAGCTGGCTAGTAGAATTTCCGATTGGGCTGCAACGGTAGAATTAACATCAGTGATGACAGTTACATTAGTCCCATATGGGTTCTAACCAGGGCAGACAGAAACTCGGAGTTTGAGTAAGCGAGAGAGAAAACTCCTCCTCAGTGCGCTGCAGGCAACGAAGAACGGTAGAGTATATGTATGAACGATCTGCAGCCGGATTCAAACAATTGCTATCGCTAATTTTGATCGCCAAAAATTTCCAAAGTACAGCAGACGCCCCCAAAAACACACAACATCTATGAAGTTGCATGTCCGCCACACTACCAGATTTGGCTGATTACGCATCGCATGTGTTACTCTTCCATGTTGTATACTTTTAGGTTAGGTTAGGTTAGGTTGAAGTGGCTGCCAGTGACCCCAATAGCCCACATAGGCCTTAGGTTGTGGGCCCGTTGTGATACCACGCGGATCGTTAGAACCCTCCTACTCAAACCATCGTGTGGATTTTGCGAAACCCAGAAGTTGCCGTATGCCTACTTCGGCTATGTCGGTTAGGTCCTCAAAGAATCCTGAACCCATAAACTTTTGTCTTCTTCTACAAAGTGCGGGGCAATGGCATAACAGGTGCCGCAAGCTTTCTGGCTCTTCTTCATTTCTGCAGCTTCTGCAGAAATCGTGTAGGGGGATCCCTAACCTCTCCGCGTGCCTTCCGAAAGCAACATGGCCTGTTATCAGCCCCACAGATGCGNTAAACTTTTGTCTTCTTCTACAAAGTGCGGGGCAATGGCATAACAGGTGCCGCAAGCTTTCTGGCTCTTCTTCATTTCTGCAGCTTCTGCAGAAATCGTTAANATCGTGTGGATTTTGCGAAACCCAGAAGTTGCCGTATGCCTACTTCGGCTATGTCGGTTAGGTCCTCAAAGAATCCTGAACCCATAAACTTTTGTCTTCTTCTACAAAGTGCGGGGCAATGGCATAACAGGTGCCGCAAGCTTTCTGGCTCTTCTTCATTTCTGCAGCTTCTGCAGAAATCGTTAAGGGGGATCCCTAACCTCTCCGCGTGCCTTCCGATAGCAACATGGCCTGTTATCAGCCCCACAGCTGCGGCTAGGTCCCCTCTGCTCAGCATGACCGACCGCTTTTTGTCCCATTTTGGCCATGTAAGCTTCGTCTTGTGGCAAGTGGTGAGGCTATCCCACCTGTCCCTTGCTAGTTTAAGAGACAGATCCCTTAGAATGAGCTTTCAGTTAGCGAGCGGCAGCCTAACCTNTGTGATACCACGTGGTTAGAACCCTCCTATTCAAACCATCGTGTGGATTTTGCGAAACCCAGAAGTTGCCGTATGCCTACTTCGGCTATGTCGGTTAGGTCCTCAAAGAATCCTGAACCCATAAACTTTTGTCTTCTTCTACAAAGTGCGGGGCAATCGCATAACAGGTGCCGCAAGGTTTCTGGCTCTTCTTCATTTCTGCAGCTTCTGCAGAAATCGTTAAGGGGGATCCCTAACCTCTCCGCGTGCCTTCCGATAGCAACATGGCCTGTTATCAGCCCCACAGCTGCGGCTAGGTCCCCTCTGCTCAGCATGACCGACCGCTTTTTGTCCCATTTTGGCCATGTAAGCTTCGTCTTGTGGCAAGTGGTGAGGCTATCCCACCTG